ACCCCTAAATTCTACGATTCTATGAAAAATGTTATTTGGTGAGCAGTGAGACAGTAGAGCACTAGATTTCTCTTTGGATAAACATGTTATTCATTCACCTCATGCAACATATTCATAAATAAATACTTCATGAGATAATATTTTCCTTATCATAAAAGGTCCATTTTTGCACTGAATAGTTTTGGGGGATTTTGCTATTTATTTGTTTTGGTGTTCACAATAACTGTGATTACTCTTTGAGTTTCAAAAGGAAACGGAGCACATAAAGTTCAATGCTGCCACCTAGTGCTGTAGTAGCTTGAATTAATAATGGTATTTTTGATAAGACAGAAATTCATCTGCTCACAGCTCTTGACTCACAGTCTACACCTGCATGAGCTGAATAACTATTTGGTGTCCTCTAACTGTTTTGGCTAGTTTCCCATCATCTATCTTGGGACCTGTGACACTTAATTCACATATAGGGAGCTAAGCCCCTTCTAATCCACAAAATGAGAATGATTTACTGAAAAGAGCCAGGATCACATATCACAGATCATTTCTTAACATTTCCAGCCAAACCCTTGGTGGAGGGAGGGAAGGAACTGCAAAGCCAGGATCATGCTGCAAGCCCTGCAGGGACACTCTCATCTGTGCCCTGTAGATTTATAAATGGCAGCATCTTGCCTAGGAGCCAACCCTCTCCCTAGAACTGCTCTTACCTAAGTGTAGTTGGGAGAATTCATAGAGAAAAAGTTGGGTTAGTTTGTTAGCATGAACTGGACCAACAAAACTCTGGCTCGGGGTGAAAGTTGGAGGATTTGGATGATTCTGGCTTGATCCAGCTCCCAGCTATCACTCGAGTTTTGATTTCTGCTGTCATAGTTATGACTGTTCTGAGCTTCAGATTAGATGTTAGGAAAACTTTTTTTCCCTGTTAGGGTGTTCAGGCACTGGAATAGGTTGCCCAGGGAGGTGGTGGAGTCACCATCCCTGGAAGTGTTTAAGAGGCATCTGGATCTGATGCTGGAGGATATGATTTAGGGTTTAAGGGTTCCAGCAGAGTGACAGGTTAATGGTTGGACTGGATGATCTTAGAGGTCTTCTCCAACCTAGATGATTCTATGACTCTATTTGGGCATACCACCTTTTTCCTACTTTCCTCTCCACTGCACCAGCCATGGCCAGCACTTGCTTTGTTTTCACCAGTGATTCCTTTCCCAACCCCTCACACTCTCAGCATGCTACCAAGCACCCCTCCTTTGTCCTGCTCTCAAAATGTGGGCACCCTGCTCTTGGAGGAATGTTGTCGTTGTCAGGAATCAGCCCTGGGTTGTGCTGGTATCACACAAATCTTCCCAGAGCAGTCTAGCCTCAAGACTGACATTTCCTTTCAGTCGAAATAAAGATTAGCTCAGCTAGAAATATTACCTTTCTTGGTTTTCTGTCTGTCCCAAAGGTCTCAGGCGACTCGTTTCCGCTGGCACCAGCCAGCTCCTTTCGATAAGCAGCAGACGTGGGCGATCGATAACGTCTACATTGGGGATGGCTGCATAGACATGTGCAGTGGCCATGGGAAGTGCACTCAAGACAACTGTGTGTAAGTGCCATCTGCTCCCTGTCCTGCCAAGTGCTGTAGCATTTGCTCCTCCTCTGTCATTGTAAAGAGCTTGCAGGGAAAACTGTGATACGATTTTTCAAAGGAAGGTGGATTTTGCAGTTAAAACTGAGCAGGGCACTGGGACTGCTTGGAAATAGAAATATCCAGCAGAAGGGTAAGTGTGGGGGTTGGCTTTGCCAGACCTCTGCCTGTTCCCACATCATGGACGATGCACAGCCCTTTCCTCAGTGGCAATCATTGCCTCTGCTGTTGCCTTTGCTGCACTTTGGTTCCTCTCCCACCAGGTAGGGAGAAGGTAGCTGTTGAGTTTGCACAACCTTCTAGGCATGTGCTGTCCCAGACCTTCCCAGAAGATGTCATCCTTATTCCCACGAGGTTTCACACCATGTCTCTGTGCTCTCAGCCTGGTGCTGGGTGGAGAGAACCCAGGCTGGAGGTGGCATGTGTCCACTAAGCAGGGTATATGCCAGTTCTTCACAAGGCCAAATTTTGCCTTTTGACTGGTGTTAGCTTGATGGTCTGATGCCTCTGCTCCATGGTAGGATTTGCCAAGGAAGGCAGACTGGCTTGATCCTCAAACTGTCTGTGTAACAGTCCACATAGAGTCCTGCAAAACTAACAAACAACAAGCAGATCTCCCCAGATTTGCCTGTCTGGCAACAGAAAAATACCTTCCAGATGGATGTATTGCTTTTTTCCCAGCCACAAATGGCAACAGAAATGGGAGAATGGTTGTATAATTGCACTGTGACTATATTTGTTAGAAGTATATTTCACTGAAGAACAGATATATTACTGTGTTCTCTATCCTGACAGTACTGAAGTACCAAGACACAATCTCCCTGCTGAAATCTCATAGTAGCAGAACACATTCCCATGCAGTTATCCAGTCTTTGACACATTAGAAGAACACTTTTCAGAGGAGAAAAAAGTGGAGAACTATATACAAAAACAACAAGTACCCATCTACTAAAATATTGCAGAAACTTTAACATCAGCAGGACATTCTTAGGCTTGGCACATTCTCTTAGGTTTATCCATCCAAGTACAATGTATTTTACTATGTTCAAGAGTGTACTTTGTATTAGTAGCTGGAATGATACGTAATATTAGGCCTTCCTAATGTTTGGTTTCACGTGAGCTACAAAAAGTGGCTGGTGTTTGACACCACCACGTACCAGTTGTGTGCCAGTAGATGATGCAGACAGCATCTGTGTGGGATAGTGCGGAATAACGTGGCACTGATTAACCCCCACCCTGTGCAGAGCCTTTGCCAGCTGATTTTTGCATGTGTTTCCCTCTGCAGCTGCGATGAGCACTGGGGTGGGCTGTACTGCGACGAGCCAGAGACTCCCCTTCCAACACAACTGAAAGACAACTTCAACCGCTCCCCGTCGAACCAGAACTGGCTGACGGTGAACGGGGGCAAGCTGAGCACAGTGTGCGGCGCAGTCGCCTCTGGGATGGCTCTTCACTTCAGTGGGGTGTGTGTTCAGCACAGAGACCAGCTCGCTCCGTTTGGCAGGGAAGGGTTTATATATCCCATGTGAATGTTTCAGAAAACATATCCTTTGCCTCGCTGAAGGTTGAAGTCAGACAGGGCCTACAGATTAGGGCCAGCCAGAAACATTCCAGACTTTGTTTCTCGCTATGCTACAGCCAGGGGAGTGAGATATGAGATGTGTGAGTCTCCTGAAAGGAGGTGTAGAGGGGCCTTTGGAAGTGGCCCTGATTAGTTAAAGCACAGCCTAACTATGCAGACATTCGATTTCACTCACTCATAACTGCCTTCTTATAGCACTTACAACTCCCAGAGACCAGAGTTTGGTGCAGCTTCTAATCAGACTGCAGATGTAAATCAATAACTAGCTATTTGCACATGTATAACTTGCAGAAGGTCCTTGACAATACAGAATCACAGAAGAGGTAAGATTGGAAGGGACCACAGTGGATTGTACAGTCCAATCTCCCTGTTTAAGCAGGGTCATCCTAGAGCACATTGCCTCTATTTGGAGCCTCATCCTTCAGATGTTTCACCATTGAGTGTTTTCAGAGCAAGTTCACAGTAAAATTTCCTAGGCTATAGGTATATAACCCAGACTGCTGCTGAACTACAGTTTGCTTACAGATAACCTCAGGATTATATTATAACCTCAGAATTATATTATAAAAATGACAAAACAGTACTTTAGAAACATGTAAAATTTATGCTTGTAGATCTCTTCCATCAAATTTATAACTAGGTTCAAACTGATGGGAATTCTCTAAAATAATCTGACAGAAACATTACATTCCTACTTCCTTCCAGTAGGACTAAGTAGGCACCAGTAACTAGTAGACTAAGCAGTGTGAACTATGTAAGGGATTGTGGAAAACACACATAGTAAAATTGGTTTTCCATTTGATGGTTTGCATAAATTGAGCCATTAGCACATGATCAGTGATTCATTGATTCTGAGTGGGAAAACCTTGTGATTTACACTGGAGGCATGGGGGTTTGCAGCTCTTGTACTCAGGAGAAAGGTGAATAGAATTATGGATACTAAAAAAAATATATATATTGTTGTGGTGTAGCTTTAACTTTGTAATAATATGGTTTTGTACAGTTTTAAAACTTCTGTGGCACCAAGTTACATTCCTAGTGACATATTAGCATATTCTAACACTTTTTTGTGAGCATAAGTTTTGCCAACCAACATATTTTTTCATTGCTTTTAAGGGTTGCAGCCGTATGTTAGTTACAGTGGATTTGAACCTCACCAGTGCAGAATTCATCCAGTTTTATTTCATGTATGGATGTCTGATAACTCCTAATAACCGCAACCAGGGAGTGCTGCTGGAGTATTCTGTCAATGGTGGAATCACCTGGAGCCTCTTAATGGAAATTTTCTATGATCAGTTCAGCAAGCCTGGGTTTGTAGATACCTCCTTTCTCCCTATGTGATTTCCTGTACTAAACTAAGATGGTCTTGAATGTTTCATAAGAACCTGTGGGACATATTGCTGCTGTGGTTTGAATGTCAGATCCTTACGAGTGCAGCTTGTGGGTTGAAGGAAGTGTTGGAGCAAACCCAGAGGAGGCCACAAAGCTGATCAGAGGACTGGAGCACCTCCCCGACGAGGACAAGCTGAGAGAGTTGGGGCTGTTCAGCCTGGAGAAGAGAAGGTTGTGTGGAGACCTCAGAGCCCCTTCCAGTGTCTGAAGGGGCTCCAGGGAAGCTGGAGAGGAACTCTGTGTTAGGAACTGCAGTGACAGGATAAGGGGCAATGGGCACAAACTGAAAGAGGGGGAATTTAGATTAGATATTAGGAAGAAGCTTTTTCCTGTGAGGGTGGTGAGACACTGGCCCAGGTTGCCCAGGGAAGTAGTAAATGCTCCAACCCTGGCAGTGTTCAGAGCCAGGCTGGATGAGCCCTGAGCAGCCTGCTCTGGTGGGAGGCGTCCCTGCCCAGGGCAGGGGGTTGGGACTAGATGATCTGTAAGGTCCATTCCAGCCCCTTAATATTCTATGAAACATTCTATGTCCAGTCCTACAAGCATTTATGTATGGCCTTGGCACATGCACTTGAGCATCAGCATTTGTGCAGCTGCTAGGCCAGAAACACAAGGGTAGTGAGGAGTTTGTATCAGTCTGGTAGATTTGTAAATGGTTGCAGGAAGATAAATTAATAGCTACTGTAGTGATGTCCATCCTGTTCTTCAAGATGCTAACATTTGCAATCTGGTTTCTTACTGACAAGAGCAGAAAATCATTGTTTGAACTGGTTAGAAAATGGTGTGGAGAGGAGAAACTGAATTTCAAAAAATGGATACACTCACTCCCTATTTTCAGATATTTGTGAGGTTCAAATCATGCATATATATGACCTGACCTTTCCCTCACTGACTAAGTTAAAAGATTCATAGAAAATGGGGATGTGTGGGACCCATTATTTCATTTGAAAACACCAAGAATACTACCACTTTAATTGGACATGAGATTTAAGTGTACTATCATCTGCTGTTGCAATGGAAAAAAATAATATCGTACTGGAACATTGTTATCTGCTGAATGGCTCCAGGTGGAAAACAATAATCTTAATTTTACTTCAACATTCTCCTTCTTAATACATCCCTTAATTAGGACCTTATGGTCATACCCTGCTAGTCTAGACCATTGCATTTGGTCCCATAGAGACAGCTGGAGAAAGTGAGGTTACTCAAACCATGCCATAATCTGGTTGCTGACCCTTCCCACCTCTCTCTGAGCCAGGGATGACATTGGGAGTGATCAGAAAGGTTCAGCAATCTCCTGTAGAGGAAGACAGGCTAGATCACCCGATCTTTTCCTTCTTTCCCAACTTCCACATGCTCTAGGAAACAATGAGAGTGGATCTGGTCAAAGCATCCAGTGCAGAGCATTGAGAAGTGTCCTCCTCCTGTGGCTTCCCTACAGCTAACTTCCACTTCTTATTTCAGCTTTGTGAACATCCTTCTTCCCTACGATGCCAAAACCATCGGGACACGTTTCCGCTGGTGGCAACCCAAACACGACGGCCTGGACCAGAATGACTGGGCAATAGACAACGTGTTGATCTCTGGCTCAGCAGACCAGAGGACAGTGATGCTCGACACCTTCAGCAGTGCTCCTCTGCCACAGCATGAGCGCTCCCCTGCTGATGCAGGGCCCACTGGGAGGATTGCCTTTGACATGTTCATGGAGGACAAGACTACAGGTAAAAGTTTCACCTGGATTTGAATTGAAGAGCAAGAAGTCAGTGCAGCAATTTGTGAATCTTGCTGAGCCTTTGTCTCACTGTGATGGTGATCACAGACAACCCACTGCTGAATTTTGCTTTTAGTTCACAAAATGAAAAGATGTAATGCAACTTTTTTACTGCATGAGTTTACTTAGAAGATTAATTTATTTTCAGAGAAAGAAAAAGAGATTAAAAAGTGCCTGGTTAGTCTAAGCAGATTTCTTTTCTTATGTTTCCTATTTCCTAACTTTAAAAAATTTTAGGGAAGTTTAGTTGCATTTTACAACTAAATTTTGTAGAAGATGTATTTCTCTATGTTTACAAGGCTTAAAAGCTACCAGTGCTGGGGCACACTTGGTGCAGACATGTAAGGCTCTCCCAAAATGTTCAGGTGCAACACAAGTTTATGTTTTAAGTAAGTCTCAGATCCTTACTTCTTGAACTTTAAAAAATGATGCTTCAATGCTTATATAATTAAGTAGTAAGAGGTGCTTTCAGCAATAAAAATGATAAATGTAAGACATATGTACATGGGAAAAATGGGGTACAGACATTCTCAGGAGCTATGCTAAGTAATTCTCATGTAGCTGAAAAATAAAGCCATGAGTGGTTAACACCACTCCCTGTTTCTTTAATTCCTATTGTCATTGTACATTACTGATGATGCCATTTATTTCCAAGTGAATGAACACTGGTTATTCCATGATGATTGCTCAATTGAGAGATTTTGTGATTCTCCTGATGGTGTCATGATCTGTGGGAGCCACGATGGCAGAGAGGTCTATGCAGTCACTCATGACCTGACTCCTACAGAAGGCTGGATTATGCAGTTCAAGGTAAAATCTCTGCAGTATAATTACTCAAAACCACATTTTGCTCCATGTTTTTCAGGAGGTAGGATGATACATAGACCTACACAGGACCCATTCCCTGCAGGGAAAAGTGTTGTTATTAGGCCATCCTCATTTTTCTCACTTACTCAGTGTTGGTCAGCTTTAATACCTCAGGCTGTTCTCAGAGCTGACACATTCTCTTCCAGCACTGCAGCTGGATGAACATCAAGTAATAAGGATATTACACATTTTGTTATAGCTGCTTGGTGAGGGAAAAGCAATTCCAGAGTAGTTCACACCACTCCTATATTGCCATGTATTCACATCAAACCTGCACCCAAACTCCCTTCATGCACTGCTTTACCTAAATTAAGGAAAGAAACCAGCAATATATGGAAGCTGCAAGAGCCCTTTGCACATCTCTCCATAAAGATGGTCTGCCTAACCCATTGCCTTCTCTGAAATACTCAATTCTTAGGCTGTGTGGGAGGGGAGATTAACTTGTTATGTGGTACTGGGGGATTAAGGCACAACTGTCAAAATCTGGAAATTCAGAAATGTGAGCTCACTAGAAAATGAAACTCAGAAAATGGTGTCTGTTCCCAGTCTGGGGAATATTGTAGAGATCTGCAGAGGATTGGTACTGTACAAGCACTGTTACTGCCATCATTTCAAGCAAAATTCTGCGTTTTCAGGTTCAAACACTTTTTAAACTCTATCTATCAGCACAATTAGTTCTAAGTTACTGATGCTCTCTTCTTTATTAGGTTTCTGTTGGTTGCAAACCCTCAGAAAAACTTGCACAAAATCAGGTCCATGTGCAGTACTCCACTGACTTTGGCGTGAGCTGGAGTTACTTAGTCCCTCAGTGCTTACCAGCTGATCCAAAATGTTCTGGGAGTGTTTCGCAGCCATCTGTCTTCTTTCCCACAAAAGGATGGAAAAGAGTAACTTACTCACTGCCTGAAAACCTTGTGGGCAAGTAAGTATGCATGTGCTACTCATTTTGTCTTGGATTGAGTACCTGCCTAGAAACACAACAGGGATACATCTGCCTATGCATTGTCTTTCAAGGACACTGTAGACTAGCAGTGTTCACTTTCATTAAGTATGCTGCCTAATTATATTGCCTGTCAATCAAGGCTGACTATGACCCTTTAGTTTGAACAACCATCACAGTTATCCTTGCTTCTCTGCAGTCTGCTCTGGCACAGCATGTTCTGCAGTGGTCAGCCAGCCACGGTCAGTTGGAGAGTAGATCTGTGACCTTAGTGAGTGGAAAACCTTTATGGTCTGCACATAGGCAAATCATTTGTCTTCTTCTGCAAGATTAAAATCTCCTAAAGTCTTTGTATTATCTGCTCAGGAAATATGACCAAAATTATAGCCAGAATAGATTTTTCTGGCTTCAGCAGTGCTGAATTCCTTCCATATCTAGTGTATATATATATATGTGGAAGGAATATATATATGTTTATCCATATATAGGTTCCATCCATAGGTAGTACCTGTGTGAAGACTTTATGGATATGTATAAAATCAGCTTCAACAGATACTTTCACTACTTGTGGAACATTGGAGGATAGTACAGTCATAAGTATATTGTGTTGAACCACCTGGTTTTCAATTGGTTTATACATGTGTCTGTTTTCCTTCATTCCTTTATATCTAGTCCCGTGAGGTTTCGGTTCTACCAGCAATACTCAGATATGCAGTGGGCCATTGATAATTTCTATCTGGGACCTGGTTGTCTGGAAAACTGTAGAGGTCATGGAGACTGCCTGAATGAGCAATGCATCTGTGATCCTGGGTATTCGGGTCCAAACTGCTATCTGACCCAGACACTGAAGGTAACTTTACTGTGTGTTTTAAAGGATTATTTTTGGCATGTGTTTGGCTGAGAAAGAGAGACAGGAAAGATTGATCCCACTGGAAATTTAGCTTAGATGCCCATCAGCCTGAAGACAGTGAAATCCATTTTTAACAAAACTATTAACTACATTGTTGAAGAATAGTTGTGTTCCTTTGCAAATAACACTGCCTGAAAAACCTGTGCTGAAGTTCACTGTTCATCATTATAGGAGCTAAATCACCCTGGCACATATGGTTGTATTTGATCAAGACCTGTAGAAAGACTGTCTTTATCATGAAAGAGCTTACTGAAGTAGGGAATACAGGAAAATGGCATGTAATTAGGGAATTAATTCACCTGAGTGTTATTGAGGTTACCCTATAACAAGCAAGTGAAGTCTAGTTAGATATTGCAAATTTAAAAGTTATAAATATTTGTAAAACTTGACATATTTAGAAAAAAACATGTAGTGAATCCCAAATTTGTTTAAGATGCCATATTTACCATCTCACTTTTTCTACATCAGGTAAGGACAGAATAGGTATATCCTCCACAGAAACAACAGGATAACCACAACTCTGTCTAAAGAGAATGGGACAACTCACCTTTTCATTTATCCTGTCATTTGAATTATTATAGCCTTGTGTTTTTCATCTGAAATACTAATTACATGAACAAATATCATTGTCTGCAATTTCTAATTAGCAACGTATCCTTCACATTAAGGACATTTGGGATAAAATCCTAGCAGTTTTAGGGAATTTACTACTATCTCCTTAAGGCCAGGATTTCACTTATGGCGTTGCTTTTACTGCACACCCGGAGGTAAGTGGAAATCAGAGGTATATTCGGTATGGTTTTCACTGTAAATATTTGTGTAGACAGTTGCATAAATCTACTACAGTAATCCTAGCATTTCATTGCAGTACTGGCTTTGTTGGGGAAAAAATGGAGCATATTTTTTCTCCCATACATACAGAACCTCCCATGTAGCCCTCCACCATCAAAACCTCACCACTCAAACCAAACTCACCCCTTCATTTGCACATGCCAATTTCTGTTTGCTGAATTACCTCCCAAGTATGTTAAAATCCATCCATAAAAATGTTTTCACATTTAGCCAGTTCAGTTCAAGTGGCTAAATATTCAAGCAAAAGTGATCATGTTCAAGCACCCTGAGAAAAATTTACAGTGCTCATGAACCCTTTGAATGTGTTTAGGTCAGTTCCAGCTGTGGTCATCAAAAACACTTAAAATCTTAATTCCCTCTGCTTTGTGTTAAATACCTCACTTACAGACTTTCCTGAAAGAGCGTTTTGACAATGAGGAAATTAAACCAGACCTATGGATGTCCTTAGAAGGTGGAAATACTTGTACCGAGTGTGGGATTCTTGCAGAAGACACAACTCTCTACTTTGGAGGTGCAACTGTAAGACAGGCTGTCACTCAAGATCTGGATCTGCGAGGGGCAAAGTAGGTCATGTTTCCATGCCATTTTCATGGAGAGCTTTGTTAAACACTGACAAAGCAGCAGGCAACATAGCTTGTAGCTCAGGGAATTCCTAGGCCACTACAAGCATAGCTCAACCTGAGGCAGGCACTAATGAGATTATGATCCTCAAGGCACTGATGCTTTCAGATGACTCACAGAGAGCAAGGCCTACCCTGGCACAGTGGGAAGGATCTGCCATGTCCAAGTGAACCTCATCCAACAGGGTGAGGTTTAACAAGGCC